AGTTTATAACTGACCTGCTCACTCAGGTACAGTCCAGCAACCAGAGCACAGGTCATCAGGCAGTTATCTTGAACTGCCATTATGTATGAACAGTGCTATACAAATAAATGTTGACTTGACTAAATATAATTAAATTTTATACAGTCCAGAACATGTGAACCAATGGATCACATTCCATTCTAAAAGTAACACTGTTTATCAGCTACACTGTCTAAAAGAAACACATGCACTAAGATTAAATTTGTCCTGGGTCAACATGTTCCTAAAATTGTGTAATCATGGCATTTCCACAAAATGAATTATGTTTTGGCAAAGACAATCCAAGTTTTGATGAATGGAGAGAAAAGAGCAACTGTGTTTTGCTGTACATCAGTAACACTCAAATGAGGACTAGATAGAGATATTAATATCCATGGAATTTGACCTCTACTGATGGTATGCAGAGTGGTCACTCTGTCCTGAAACAATTTTACCATAAATCTGGTTATTCTAATTACAACATCAAAACCTCCCCATTAGAACAAGTATATTATCAGACAAAATTAATAGTTTAAGTAAAGTTATAGTAAGTAAAGTTCAAAGATATTTATCAAAATAAAAAAATTCTTAAATCAAATCAAGAATTTTTTGTAGTTTCTTCAAATGATTATCAGTATTTTCACCAGATGTTTGTACTTGTAATAAAATGTAGTTTTCTGTAGTAGTATTTTTGTCTTTGCCAGGTCCATCTGTAAACCACAACTTTTTTTTTCAATTCTTTATTTTTAGGGCAGCAGTTTATTTTAAAGATCATACCACAGGAAATTATACTTTAGTTCCCTATGCCATCCACAGTTTCTCAGAATTTTATTTGGGAGAGGTACCTGGAAGAAAATATAATAAACTAAGTGAAATCAAATCAAATAAACAAAGAGGTCAGAGTAAAAATGAAAAAACATGACAAGATCAATCATTCAATACTTCGCTAAAATATGCCCTTATGGGCCTTACATATTTAATCCACTTGGTCCAAAGTTTAATAAATTAAGTTTTCTTCAGACGGAGAGAAAAGTTAATCTTTTCCATAATAGAAATGCCATTCACTATATCTATCCACTCTTGTATCGTTGGAGGTTCAGTAAGTAACCAGCGCCTTGTGAGTGCTTTTTTACAAGCAGAAATGAAAACACCAAACATATATTCATCTGATTGCCTTGCCTGAAAATCAACAATTCCAGTGTGGAAAATTGCAAGGGCAGATCAGTATCAAATATGTTTTTTAGTACTTTATGAAACTTGGCCACAAAGGGCCTAATCACCGGACAATCCCAAAATATATGACAGTGGTTTGCTTCCTGAAATCCACACTGTCCTCAACACTTGGCATCCCCTCCTGCAAAGTGTCTTTTCTGATTTGGTGTAATAAAGAAACAAAATAATACATTTCCACCCAAACTCCCACCACACATGCAAGTTGGTGCATTTTCACTGGCATTTACAAACATCTAACCAATGCTCATTTGATACTGTAAGGTTGCTTTTCCATTTTTCTTTAACATATTCTATAGTGTGGGTTTTTTTGTCATAAGGCTTTTATAAAGCCTAGAGATAAGCCACTTGTTTGAATTATTTTGATAGGCATCAATAATTATCTTCAATACTGGATCATTCATGTCAGTTTTATTCATAATGTTTTGTTTAAAATGGCTGCGTACCAAGAGATATCTTTAAAAATGAGATTTTTCAAGACCATATTCTTTTTCAGGCTCTCAAAGTCTTAACTATCCATTTGCTGTCATGAAGTAGAATGTTATTACCTTTAAGATCCAGAATTTAAATCTGAAATCCATTTTATTAGGTATAAACCCAGGATCATAAGCACACCATTGAATTATTTGTAGTTTAGCATCTAGTTTATATTTTATCATGTTCCAGATTTTTAAGTGGGTATTTATCAGTGGATTTTGCACACTATCTAGAAAAATTGCCAAAATTTTCATAAGCCAACACTGCCTGAATTGGTGGGTCACTTATGAAAGAGATTCGATATCTTTCCATCTAGCGTGAAATGTTGGGGTGCATGTGCACTCCTTTGGTAGTTGTAGTGTTTTAAATGTAATTCTGGGTTTCTTCCACGCCAAATGAATCTAGATATTATACTATTCAATTCAGAAAATTGTTTTCAGGGAATTTCTACAGAAAGAGCATAAAAATAAGAAGAGATACCATGGAAGAATATTCATTTTAAACAGAGTCAATTCTATGACTAAGACCCAGGGAAGAAATGGAATTCCATCCGTGTATATCCTCTTCAATCCTTTTAAAAAGGGGGCCATTCATTTCTGACAGTGTCGAAATATTTTATTTTATACTTTTTTTTTTTATTCTATTGAATATTATCGATTACATGCAGAGTCCGCCTGACATCATTTTGAGTTTGTCTTTGTGAGATAAACCTAGTCTGGTCATAATCTGAGGAAGGATCTTGTCCAGTCTTTTGGCGAGGATTGCTGTATATAATTTATAATTGACATTCAATACCAAGATTGGTCTATATGATCCATACTCCAGTTTGTCTTTTCCATCTTTGTGAATAACTGAGATCACTGCCTTGCTCCATGATGGAGGAAGTTTGGCATCTGTTTAAGTTGTATTACAGGCCCAAAGAAGGCTAGGCATTAATTCAAATCTTAAAGCTTTATACCATTCTGAAGGTAAGCCATTTGGGCCCAGAGATTTATTCGCTTTAAGTCTGGAGATGGCGCTATTTAGCTCTGTCCCACTTATCGTAGATGTTCATGTTTGATTTTGTTCCTCTGTTAGGACAGGTAGGTTGAGAGAATCGAGGAACTTGCCAATTTGCTGTTCACCCTCTAGGTGTGGTTGAGTATATAAAAACTTCAAGAAAAGAATTTCATCTTGTTTATATAATACTGTTTTAGAATCTGGGTCCCTTAGTTTATATATACTGCTTGTAAAATACAACTTTAATGTCACTTTTCCTAAATAAAATCCTGCACAGTGTCCAAAACTGCATGAATGTAGCTCACTTCAACTATTAGGGACAACTGAAAAATTCACCTTACACATAATATATAAGGCACCATTTAAAGGTGTAATGTTTAAGATCTGCCCAGATCTGGCCAGAATTTAAGTTTAAAATGTTCAAAAAATGAACTAACACTATCAAAAGTATGTGAAGGAGCCACAGTGATGATGTCATGACCAAGACATCCATCTATTGTATTTCAGAGATATCTACTGAAATGAGAATGTTAACCAACTAGCTGTGTCCCGGGCCGTGTTGTAGTACCACTTCATGGCACTAGATGCTGTGTGAGTAAGTGTAGTGTCTAGTCTGCCCTCAATCCCACAAAGAAGAACAACTTCCTCCAGAGCTTGAAGTTACGCTACAGCTCCCAACTAAAAAATAAAAATAAAAAGCTGCTGACTAGCATCACAGAAACGCAGAGATGGATGAAGCTCCTGGAAAGTGATCTTTATCTCCATCCCAAAGGACCGCTCTGACAAGAAACCACGTTTGACAGCAAAGAAGCAAAACATGAGTGAATTCCTGGTGCGTTTTTCCACTGCTGTAGACAGCTCCGGATAAACAGATGCAGTTTGATGGCGAGCTCCCTACTTTTCTTTCAGACTAGTGAGTAACATCTAATGTTAGTCCGTAGCGAAAAGTATCATTAGTGCAAATGACAAGACATTTCAAGTGGCATACATGTATGATTGATGATGTCGACAGACGCTTTAGTGATTTAGTCGAATTTACCCTGTTCCTGCGACTGTTGTCCAGCTAGATGCGTCAGTAACTTTTCTTTTACAAGTAAGACAAAGAGACTGTTTGATCCAGAACAAGCGGGTTCAGGATCCACTGCCTAATACTGTATTTATTTTAGCATATTCATATCTATCCTTACTATTTATTACACACACACACACACACACACACACACACACACACACACACAACAGACCTAACATGTTTGAATATAAAGAACTTGTATGATCTAAACTAATTGTTCTATCACATGTATTGAATGAATTCCTGTCCAGTCATTCCCAGCGATGGACCAGCACCTGCCTTTACTTCTGCTTCTGGCCTCATCAACCATCAACAACCACATTACAGTAACACCTTGGAGTATTACTCCTGCACAGAACAGATAGTCTATACTGTGATCTTTTACACATCCTGCTCAGCAGGGGTTTTGCCAACACTTTTGTACATAGTTTTTTTCATAGTTTTTTTTTAAATATGTGTATCTATGTGTATTTATTTGAATTTATATTGAATACCCTTTTTCAATGATTATTGGAACTATGTAAAAGTTGAAGATTAAGTAAAAGGAATCAAAATCCTAAACCAGCTCTCCAGGGGGCATGAGAGGGACTTCACTGATGAAATGGATTTTCCTTCACTGTCCAGATGGTGGCGTTGTAAGCCTGACTCCACCACTGGGAAACCACCTAAGCTCCAGCTTGTACAGGATACTGTAGGTAGTCCAAAGACATTTGTATGACTGAGGTTTATCAGCATTCATTGACAGGAACTTTTCCACAATAAATTTCAAGGAAAGCTATTTTAAGTTCTATTCTAAGTACAAGTAACCCCCCCCCCCCCCCCCCCCCCCCACCCCCCCCCCCCCCCAAACTAGAAAGTAATGGGCAAGGTTATTCATTTATTATAATTATAAACCATTTGTTTATCACTGGATACACTGTAGAGTGTGATAAATATCCTTCCCTACAAAACTACACCAGGAGTCACTGAGTGTTTGGGGTCTTTCTACATCAGACTCCCTTGCAGTCAGAGTGAAATCTAGATATAACATTTATCTGTGAATAATGTCCGACACACCTCTTTAAGGACATTTTTTCTGTTAGATCATATCCCCTAAAAGTGACAGTGACATTTTGCGTGAATAATGTACTGCACATACACAAAGAGGGGTGTGGCCTACAAATACTAGCATAGTTTCTATGCTCTTGAAAATGTGAAGCTTCCTTCATCACTTCCTCTACTGAACTAGGATACATTGAAGAAAAGCACTTCCTGAAACTCATTTTGAGCGCTCTAACTTCAAGCATTTAAATTTCACATTCTTTACACTTGTTCAGACTGGCAGTAAAGGGTAAACTGTCTGCACACTAGAAGTGGCTGCTCTGACAGGACTTCGTCTTCTGTCCCGTGACACCTAATAAGGGAAGCTACAGGGTTAACATTGTGCACCACCCTGCAAACAGTAAGTACACTGCTGTCACAATGATGCTTTGTGCCTGCATTTGACTCTTATCTCCTTGTACGCTTCTATTTATGGTCACACCTTATCTTTTTCACCACTTTTGCTGGTTTCATTGCACTTGCCCATTTTGCATGGTGGTATCATTTGACAGAAATACCTTCAGTTGTGTTTTTTTCTGGAAGTTAATATAGATCAGTAAAAATGCACACTATTTCTGAGTAGTAGTAGTAGTAGTAGTAGTAGTAGTAGTAGTACTAGTAGTAGTAGTAGAGGACTTTCATTGCTGTAGTATTTTTTGTCATGTATCTAAAGGTATCAGAACAGAAGAATTTGAATACTTTAAGTTGTAGATGACTGACAGTCAATGACGTTTTGTTTTAAAGACTAAAATTAGTATACTAAAGACTACACATTCCTCATAAGTATGAATGTGAGTGTCTATCAACTGTAGGAAATGTCAAACAAAAATTGGCAACATGTCTGTCTCATTTCTTGTAAAGATAAATTATGTGAAAATTACATTAAAGAAAAGGATTAAACTTTCATCCCATTTTTACTTGTTGATGGCACGAAGCTGTTGTATTACGCTCATTAGAAAGCAGTATTTCCTGGAAGCCCTGGGAAAAACTATTCATCTTTTTGTTTGTCTCGGGGGTCACATATTTTCTTATGTATTTACTCGAAAGGAATCAAGAGGGTCTGTGATTCTTTGTAATTTATGAGTGCTTCACTTGTACTAGACTATATTAATTTTTGTATTCTACTTGATGTTAAAGTATAATATATATATGTATTCATGTTTTGTAATAACCCCCACAGTTCTGACTGCATACCTGGCCAGGCTCAGTGGAGGTGCAATCCCCTGCATAAATTGCCTTTACAGTGGTTTGTTTGTGTTTTTATTTGCATTATACAATACAGTACTTTCTTCGTCTTCCAAGAAAGCATGGGTTGGGTCAGTAAATCTTATTGTTATGTCCTGTAAAAGCACTTTGAGGCGTTACTGGTTTATGTAAATAAAAGTGTTTTGCCATGGCACTCCCTGCAGAGTGCTGGAAATAAGCTTTGGCTAATACAGTATATACAGAACATCGGACACTGCTTCTGCAACTGCAGCCTCTTTCTGTACTTGTCCCCTACAAATAAACCAAAGCAGTAGTACAGTTCACAGTCATCTGCACATTTGAATATAGGAAATGAGCTGAAGGTAGAATTCTATGATTAATCTAGGAAACTGTCAAAAGGTTGAAAACAACCTTAGAGTATTTCTTCAATAAATCAGTCATTGCTGATCACTTAGGTGGGCCAACACTAAAACACTAAATGAGGAAGACAGATAACTTGAGTCTATTGTATTTGTTTAAGCCAATTCTTCACAATGAACAACCAGTCAATGACTAATGTTGGACACATAAAACCACACTGCCTGGAAAAGTATTAAGCAGAGTCCAACTGCAATTCCAGTTTAATTTCAGCTGAGAAACTTCACTTATTCAGTTAGCAAGTCGTATAACATTCGGTTGACTTGTGAAACAACCAATTACTAATTTCTGCTGCTGCTAAAAGGGAGTACTCAGTAGTTAATACTACATTATTACACTAGTACTCAGTACTCGTGGGTTGGACAACATCCATTTTGGAAGTCAGCCTTCATTTTGATCTCAACTACACACCTGTAAAGTTTCACGATGTAGACAAAATCTGTCCACCGACTGACAGACACCTGTCAAAAACTGCCTACCTAAGGCAGGTAGTATCCGACTACCCAAACTGCCTCTATGGTAGTTCCTACTACAATAAGTGTCTCCAGGACCATATTTTGGCATCACACAAACACAAAAACACACAGTGACAACTGTACCAAACACGCAGTTGCGAGTTAAAATAGGCACTGTGTCTGTTTTGTCTCTTATTTCTTGTGAAAATTACTTTACAAAAACTAGGATTACACAAAAAACTTGGTCATGACAAACTGTTGGATCATGTTTACGCAATAGCAATAGCAATAGCAATAGCAATAGCAATAGCAATAGCAATAGCAATAGGAACACCAACAGCAACAGTTAAGTTTAGGCAAACTATTTTGTTTTGGTAAAATAAAAATTAAGGAAAAAGATGAACTCAATTTAAAGTACCTGCCCTACCTTGAATTGACCAAAAATGCATATACTCATCTAAAAAATCTGTTATTCAAACTTATTCTATTGTGTATTCTAACAGAAGATATTGTTTCATACTTTCTAAAAATGCACACAGCCATCCTTAGTGTGCCAAACTTGAACAAAAAAACAAAAACAAATGGAACGAATGAAACATCTTGCAATATCACTTTTCTCAATGAAAATAATGACAACAGACAGATATACACTCAACTGAACAGTTCAACTGAGATTATAATATTTTTTATGTTGTGTATGTCCCAAAAACAGTGTATTCCATTATTAGGTCAGAACTTGGTGTGCAGACATTCCCCCAAAAATGCAACAAGCCTTGACATGCCTTTTAAAGAAAAGTTCACTTAAGAGTAACAAGGGGCTACTGGGTGGAGAAATCATTACTGGAACTGGTCTAAGTATCCAAGACTACTTGTGTTGCCTGTATCTTCAGGTACATTCATGTTTACATTTCATGTTTGTGGTCAGAAATTACTCATTTCAAGGCCAAGACATCCTCATCTCTTCAGAGGACTTTGAAGCACAGGCTATAGCCGACTACTAAACCCACTAAACTCTCATGCTACCTCAGCTGTTACTGTTGCTTTTAAATTTTTACATATACAAAAATTTAAATATCTAAATATACACAAACCAGTTCACATTGATGTTGTCAGTGCACCGACACTGAACACTATCAGTACAGAGCCTTTAGACAAGCAAAAGAGTAATGAGTGATGCAATGTCTGGCTGTGTGTATGTTAGCCTGTAACACAAGAAAACAGGAAATTCCAAAACCAGCAAAGCACTTACTGTGAAACTCTCAGAACCAGCTGCAAGCATGGGTTACTCTGTGCTACTTGTCTTACTTTCATCAGTGTTGTATACTTAATCAGACAAATGACATCAGCTGTTGTTCAGTCACAATTGCAGTAAATTGAAGTTTGTACTTGTGTCCAGTCTTGATGTTGGATTGATATTACACTTGCAACAACATGCATTTCTGTGGCAAGGCTTGTATATATCACATATGTAGGTCAACCAAAGTACATGCTCATTACTCACTTTATAAATAGTACCCTAACAAATCAGTATAATCATGACTTAGGAGAAAGCACTGGTCCTTTATTCTGCAATGTACCAGTAACCTTGTTCTTTCCAGGTTAGCTCTTTAAATTATTTTAACAATTTCAAACTTCTGATATTCCAGTTTAACATTACCATCTTAAAACAATGGAGGTAACTGTGGATTCTGCAGCCTTGCAACATCAATGTCCAGAAAAGTAAAAAAATAAAAGAATCAAATAAAAAAGTCAAGCACTTACTAACATCACAAAGGGAAAGTCCTGAGCCCTGTGGATCTTATCTGGAATGAGCTTTGAGACTGTAAGGGAGGACAGTGGGAGTAGGCTCATGTTCATGTTTTAGTCTTTAACAGAGGATTACAAATATTTACATTTTATTAAATGGACAGGATGTGCACTGATTGCAGTGCCAAATGAATGGGAATGAATGTGAAAGGATTTGGCCAATGCCGAGATAATTTCTGTTGTTTCTTAATACAAGTGAAATTATATTTTTATTATTCTCAACTGTATTATGTCCATTTTAGAGATATTAACACTTGGAATTAATTGAGATATTGCATTAAAAAAAACAAAAAACAAAAAAGATTTCTCTCTATCTAAAAATGTCAATTAATGAAAACATTGAAATTGAATACAAGGATAAATGACTTGGGTAAGATGACTGGGTAAAATTGACACTTTTTCTCTCAGTGTGAGTAATTGATGCAGTAGAGAATATGTACTTCTGCTGCTGATTTAGATTTTGTGTGTGTGTGTGTGTGTGTGTGTGTGTGTGTGTGTGTGTGTGTGTGTGTGTGTGTGTGTGTGTGTGTGTGTGTGTGTGTGTAAATGCTCGCGTGTATGCACATGTGCTTGTCGTGAGGAGACCTGAACTGCACTTTAATCTCTTTAACTCCACTGACCCTCCAGCAGGTCTATCATCAAAAACACATGTTGCATGGGCAAGTGCTGTGTAAAGCCTCAGAGTCGTGGCTGTAGCATTTTGGCAACTTTACACTGCTGCAACACCAAACAAATCTCACTTGCACTTTCCACCTGCATGAAATAAATTTTATTTTTTTAAACACATGGCTGCATCCTGCTCCTGCTTTATATTTTCATTTTTTTCCTAAATCTGAATCTTTAGAAACTGAAACTCACCACCTGCCAAACTTAACCTAAATAAGAAGCTGAGCATTAACCCACTTTCTGAGGCTGATCTCTAGTCTGTTCCACTGGTGTCAGCCAGATAGGAATTGCACTGGTCAGAGTGGGTATGTGTATGTGTGTGTTGTGCACAAGTGCTGATGTTGCAAGTCCAGTTCTAATTAAAGCTTTGTTTCTCCTAGGTGAAAAAAGATCAAAATGAGGAGAAGGGACACACCCCTTTGTAAGCAGCAGTCTACACCATGCCTTGGGAAAGGTGAGTGACTACACCCCAGTTCTGGATGAACATAGTATACACAGGCACATGTTCACATTTGTACAGAACAACAAAATAACAATGATGTCAATAAAGTAATACAAGCACAACTCCCACTTATTAAAATTTGAATTTATGCCACAGTTCCTCTCATATCTGTTGACAGCATAGGTAAATCAAAGAGAAACAAATCCAGCGCTATGAATAGCACTGGACAAGGATTAAACTGTGTAACATTCTTGTTCCACTGGCTTGTAACAGTGCTAAATACTGAGAAGGATTTTTTGTGTCATCTGTTGGCAACATGTCATGAAGAGCTACAACGACTATACAAAGGCACAGTTTTTTCATCAAAATCATAAAAGCAAAATGTTCCAGTGCAAATCAAAGTGATATGTACTGTGGTAGGCAGCCAGTTGTACGTAAGAGTTACACACTCAGGTTTCAGCTTCTAAATGAGAACAATAAAACGGTAAACCAAGGTGAAAGTTTCTACACTAATCCACCCTACACACTACAGACAGTGGTGCTCAAAATAAGGGCAGCGAATCAAAGTAGAAAGTGACAGAACTGTGATAAAAGCCTGGACCAACAGCCTTGGGAAAAGATGATTTTGCACCATCTATAAAAGAGGCCCAAACCGGTTTTGAGATGTGTTATCAAAATTTCACATAGCCAAACTCTGCAGCTTCAAATGGCTTTCCATTTTCTCAGTGAGAGTGAAATTTGTTTTCATCTGACAACTACTGCTTTTGGTAAATAATGGATTCTTGAAAACTGTACATCCAAACAACTGCCTCATTAAAACTGTTTAGATATGAAATGCACAAACAGCAATTAAAGCCAGTTTTTCAAATGTACCATGCCACAGTATTTCATATTCTTCTTATTGCCCCATTTTACAGATAGCCACTCACATGTTAGCAGCCAGTTGTGACATACCAGCTTGGATTAGCAGCCCCTGTTGCCATGACGCTCTCACCACCCTAAAATAGAGATAGAGAGGGACACTCAAGACAGCAACAACTAGCAGCTGCATTATACATACAGGCACCAGACCACATAAACAGCAGAGCAAACCCTGACTGAGGCAGGCAGAGTAAAACACAGCAGAGACACATCGCAGACACAAGACAGATATAGACACCAGAAACGCGGACAGTCTTGACAGCGTCAAGAAGTTTCAGCAACACTTTAAAGTGTCCTGTAAGACTCGACATCGAATGGCAGACATATGAAAATAGTGGAGCCAAAGCTAAGAACTAGAGAGTCTAGAAGAAACAGAAGCAGACACATGAAAGCTGAAATACTTGACTCAACAGGCAGAGACTGAGAGAGCCAATCATGGCCCAAATCACTACAGAAGGTAAGAGACAGATAGAGCTTCCTCTATGTTATAAAACTGTATAATGACATTGAGATTCAATGGGATGACAATTAACAGTCGAGGCACTAAGGTGGAGAGATTTGATGGTTCACTTTCTGATTCTGTGAAGTATACCAGCTTTCAGCCAAAAGTGACAGCTGACACAGAGGAGTGGAAATATTATCAAAAGTGAGTATTATGAATTACTGAAGCAATTTGTGATACATTAGGCTACATAAAAGGTCTATTCTTACAAAAAGCAGATCAGCATATTAATTGAAATTTTATTAGATATGTTAAAATACCTTCCTAACATTCCCAGACTGCTTTATGTTGGTCAGGTTTCTATAGCTGGGGCATGTAGGTCAAGGTCAACCTAGAGGCTGCTCAGCTGTTCCAGTAGAGAGTTTACACGTGCTGAGAGGCTCGTCAGGAATGACAGCTTCCGAAATGTGCTAGCCAAAGAACCGGCAGCATATTGTACCAATGTGAGCGCAAATGTTAATGGTGTCATCTGTGAAGGCGCCAAGATCACTCAAAGCCTTCAGATGGATAGTGTTGCATGTAAACCACTAAGGATGGCGAGTCTGTAGCAGAAAAGTTCGCTATCTGACATGATGATACTGCATATTCTGTCTTCTGCTTGTTGATTTGAATACCTCCACAGGGACTGATGCTGGAACTGGGCTGTACTGACTGCAACTTTAATATTATTAGTAACAGTGATGACATGGTGGTCAGAATAGCCAAACTTCTCCATTACTGATGGGATGTTGGATGGCAACAGTAGTTTTCACAGCAAGGAGATTAAGCAAGCAGGCAAAGCTATTTAAAAAAACAACAACTCTGCTGTCTTTCATCTGGTCTGATCAATGTATGAATTCACAGGGCCTCAAGTTTAAAAATAGGGTTCATGCCATGCGTATGAGTAAGAGAATCAGGTCAATACAAATAAACATGACTATGTTTCCACCAAAAGGTCTTGAGAACCAAACTCATGGTACGCGAATAACTTTGTTCTAACAACAAAGACTCAGACATTCACTTTCCATTTAGAGTAAAAGCTAAACAAATCAGTTCCTGTGAACTAGCAGGATACATATCTGCAGATTCCTCAGGAATTTAGCTCAATTAACTGTTCATATATTTGTACTTTACGCTGATCTGGTGCAGTTTCTGCAAAAATGCTAACTTAGAAATCAAGTTGTTGGGAAAAGCAATTTTTACCAACTTAAAATATTGCCTTGTCAAAATGCAGCAACAAAGAAAACCAAGCCTTGAAACCCAATAAAACATAAACTGTCAACCAAGCTTTTAAAAACCATGCCTCACAATATATGTCCGTCATTAATGCAGATAAATTAAAAACTGATCCATTACATAGCACCTAACTTTCATGATACTAGACAACTAGATCGACTCAACTATGATTGCACTTTGTTTCAAATCAAACAGACTAAACACAGCCATGCAGCAAGAGACAAACAGACTGTGGAAGTAAGATCTTGTCATGTTTTCAGTTTTCTCCGTGTTGCATACCATTCCTAGTGCTGTGTGATCCCAGAGGGTGACCCTCTTTTCCCCCCAAGGGGTCGAGACGTCACACTGCCTAGTACACCCAGGACGGACAGTGATTAACTGTGTTTACTGTAACTTGCCCGACACATTGGCAGAAAACGTAGCCAGGATTGAAACCCAAGTCAGCCACTCAAGACCTGTTTACTGATGTGAGTTCAGATGACTCATCCCTTAACCCCCACCACCCTGACCTCAAACTCATATTTGTAGGTCTCATGTTTATCTTCCTGCTATTTGTATTTACTGCCACCCTTAAGATAATGTTATTTCTTCTTCAAGTGCAGACATATTTCATCATGTTAGCAAGTTTCTCAGATTCTATAACCATGTTATCACATTGAAGCTGTGGTCCTTGTTAACTAGTACACAATCATAACATAAAACCATGTCTGTTCAGTCTGCTAATGACTGCTGTGAGGAACTGATTACCTAGTAATCACAATTATTCCACAATATCACAATGGAACATTAACCTGTATGTCACTGGTGCCCTCCACACAGGGACTACAAATGGAAATAAGCTACATTCAGTGCAAATAGTTCTGCCCCTTAAAAGTTGATGACTTGATTTTTTTCCCAGCTGACTCACAGTACACAAAGCAATGCAGGCGCAATAAAGTGGCAGGCTGTAAACTTGACAAACCAAGTCCTGTGTTAAAGTGACAGAACCATCAAACTAACGGTGATGGAAGTAGAGGCAGGTGATGGAAACGGAGGGCAGCACGCCCAGCAGACATTCTGCAGTGCAGTAGGATTTTTTAAGTGAGCTATGACCAAGATGCCAACTTTTACTTTCTCTGACTGTGTGGAAATTATACAAACATGAGTTTATACGTAAAAAATTAGTCACATATAAGAGTGTGATGTAAGGCAGGTGCTCTGCAGCTAAACTGACACATGTGCAGAGGAGTGAATGATATATTTCTCCTATTTGTAGATAAGGCATCAGTAATAATACTAAAGATTTATAAAAAGAAAAAATATAGAGCAGAAAAAGCATGAACCAACAAACCACAAGCACCTGACTAATATACTGGCGATGGTTAGGAGCAGCCATTACACACTGTACACAAAACTTGTACAATTAAGTTAGAAAAGAACCTAACCATATGACAGTTTGTAGTAGGCTAGGTTTAGGCTAGATTACTATAAGCAAATTATTAAAACAGTATTTGTAGGAATGATTCTGTCACAAGCTTTTTGATCCATATAAGTGGTTGGTCACTGTTTTAAACTATGTGGACCAACAGGAGAATTGACATTTTAACTGCCAGGAAAAAAATTACTGTCATTTGGCATGACCCATCTTCACTGTGGGCCCACACAAAATAAAGCTTTGTGCCCAAAACCAGTCTTTATAATTGATATAATTGCAATTTATGGATTATAATATACAATTTCTTTATAGACACCTTTACAAAACCAAGCCTTCCTTCGCAAGACAAAAAAAAAAAAAAAAAAACTCACATCTTTCTCAACTCTCACAGAAATGCCACGGCTTTTCCCAAGAATCTCAATGAGTGAGGTGGACGAGAGAGTACGTCTCATAGCAGAAAAGGTTTACGCCTCGGCACTGAAGGAGGAAGACACCAAGGATGCCATGGCACTGTTCAGTGTGCCAGAGGACTGTCCCATCGGTCTGCATGAGGACAGGGAGAGAGCTCTGCAGAAGGAACTGGCTGAGCAGCAGTCTCAAGAGTCTGCTAAGAAGTAGGAAATGGAAATATATTTGATCAAATCATTAGATCTCTTTCTTCACATCACAAATAAAATAACAGACAGTACTTTGAATTGTTTGCAGTGGATCTTAGGAAGATGTGACTTTTTAGTTTGTAAAGAGATTAACACTTGTCTTTGTTGTGTGTCACTAGGAAGAAGAGTTTCATGTTGAAGCGTTCGCAGTCAGTATCTTTACAGATACCCGTCAGTGGTGACTGGGCTCTGTCTGTGGTTTCCCCAATGCTCTCCCCAACCACACCTGAGCCTCATCTCCCAGAGAGCTTCCCAGACTTCCAGAGAGTTACCATCAGCGGAGATTACTGTGCAGGGGTAAACAGGATTGACACTCCAGAACAGTGATGCACAACTACATGTAATATGAACATGTGACAGTTGGTATCTCAATCTCAGCAATCAAATTGGGTACAATCATTAAAATAAATGTACACAAATGACAAACAATCAACAAAATGAGAGAGGATCAGTGGTCGTTTCACACCAGAAAGCGAAATCATAAAACTTTCAATAGAAACATTTTTCACCTAAGCAAAGGACAGAAATTACTCTCAATTCAATACTGCTGAGACTGCCAGCTGCGTGGTTGCTGAAATGCAAACTACTGAAGACCTCCAATATGACCAGGTGTTGCCTTTCACATAAGGCAACACCACAGAGACCACACATCTAGCTGTGTACCATGTATAATTACAATTACAAAAGGGAATTTAAGAACAGATTTAGTTTTGTATTTTTCTTTTCCAAGTAATTGTTTTAAGACTTGTAAAGCCTTTTAAGACAACGAAAATGTTTCCATGACATTTCCAGATCACAGTTGAGGATTATGAGCAGGCAGCCAAGAGTCTCCTCACAGCACTGTTAATCAGAGAGAAGTACTCCAGGCTGGCCTACCATCGCTTCCCCAGGACCACTGCCCAATTCCTCCGCAACGCTGAAAATGAAAAGTGGCGGGAGGAGGATGAGATCTTGCCAGGTAGGGGCAAACTCTACAGGTTAATACTCCTGCATAGTACATATTAGGGCTGTAAGATATGAGGAAAATATGCGATGACACTGTTCAATATTGCAATGACAATATTACCTGCGATAAAAAAATATCGTGCATATACAATTTTGCTGAGCGAAGCTGAATGAAGAACAGAGACAAAGGTCATTATCTCATCTCCTCTGTCCTCCTCCCTCTGCTGCAGGTAACACTGCTGAGAGGAGGGGCTCCTGTCTCAGGCTATAGTTATAAGTTTACAAAAGTTTGTGGGCAAATGAAGCTGCAGCCTACACACAGGGAGTTTTCCTTTTAGCGTGTTTGTAACAGTTCACTATTAGCTTAACGTTAACGCACTGCGCTCGTGTAAAACAAACCGTGGTGGATGGAGATGTTGAAAATGTGTCTTTTCTACATGTTTAAATGTTGTTGAACAGGTGGTATGATGAAGGACACTAATTGCTTTTTTACACGCAAAGGTTGTGATGACACTCACAGAGCTATGACTGCAGTTGTTGTCAGCTAAGGTAAAAAGTTCACTCCTTACTGGTCTCTAGGGCTGCCTCTGTGCTGTCCCGTGTGTGTGTGTGTGTGTGTGTGTGTGTGTGTGTGTGCGTGCGTGCGTGCGTGCGTGCGTGCGTGTGAGCGAGAGAGAGAGAGAGAGGCTGCAGCCAGACACCAAAACGCAGTAGTATTTCCGGTTCATTTGAATTGGGCGCTGCACCTTGAAAACCCTGCGTGCATGGCATGTGTAAATAAAATTATTTTTTCTAATTCATTTAGTTTCAGTCAGTCTTTTGCGATATGTTTATTGCACATGTTCATATTGCTATGACAATGAAAATAAGATTAATCGGTCAGCACTAGCACGTATTACACTGCAGTTGTCTGTATACTCTTTACTTATACATGTCCAAACAGGGGATATGTACTTTCAAGCTGTAGCTGTTTCTCCAGCTCAGCTGAACAACATTACATTTATTCAAGGAACTAAAAGGCGGAGGATGCAGAAAGTTTGGGGGATGTGTGGATGGCACATCCAGGGTTAACAAAACAATTCAGACTGAGAGCAGAAACAAGCACTGACAACAAAACACACTGTTAAAATACCTACCAATTCCCACACTACAGTCAATGTAATAGTGTCCATAACAGGATGATGGGAAGAAAAGTGTTCGACTATAACAAATAAAATAACTACTGCAACATCCATTTGTTGTCAAGGGTTGGGCACAGTTTCTGTTTTAGTTGTGTATTGCATGGTAATGATGGAGCTGAATGTCTATCAACAGTTCTCCACGACTATTTTTAATACCTCACTTCATGTGTATCAGAGTTAGCATGAAGAGCGTGTGAGCCAAGGTCATTCACTCTATTCCTGCCTACAGATAGTGACAAGCTTCCAGAGGATTCTGCTGAATACAAACCAGCAAACAACAGCAAAGGATAGAGAAAGGAAATGTGTCCTCTTGAAAGTATTAATACATACAGTATATGACTGATATTTAGTAGTAATCTGTCCAACACATTTAGTGTATTACTGAGTTTAGGTAGTTAATAATTTCTTGCAACAATCAGTAACAAACAAAAAGAGCTTGTATTTGATTGATAAAGTATACTAAGTTATGTTATGTATGTTATATTATGACCTCAAACAAGTCAGATGAAACAGTATACAAAAAACTTACCATTAAGTGTAAGGAATGACCAGGCTACAATATTGTTCGGTAAAATATTATGACACACAATTTATAACCATGATCATTTTTTATCATGATTAATCTATGAATATTTCTCATGTTATGATATTGTTTATGTCCATGTAACCTACTGTAAGGCATTCTCTATAGTTTAAATGGCTATGGTTTCTCTGTTATGCCAGTTTATTTATTTACTCCCATCATCTGTAGACATCTGGCCTTTCCCTCATGAAGGGGAAGACCCATACTCCATGGAGGGTATTCCTGAGAACCTGAACTATGAGCTGCAGATGAAGGATGGCATAGTTCATGTTTACAACAATGAAGAGGCCCTGAAACATGAGCAACCCCACAGCCTCCCTTATCCTGACCTTGAGACTTTCGCCATAGACCTGAGCCATGTCCTTGCTATGATTGCTGATGGCCCAACGTGAGTACTCAAGTGCCTTGAATATTCTTCATTACATTGGATCAAATGGACTTTTTACACAATATTATCTAATATATTGTCAATAGTTTTCTATTCCTGATCTGTGGGGACAGATTGCCTAGTCAGCAGGGTGGTCCTGAAAGGTTCATCTGTTGTGTTGCCTCACAGGAAAACTTACTGTCACAGACGGTTGAACTTCCTGGCCTCTAAATTCTACCTTCATGAAATGCTGAATGAAATGGCAGAGCTGAAAGAGCTGAAATGCGTCCCGCACAGAGACTTCTACAATGTCAGAAAGGTTGGTTGGTATTTCAACATCTAGCTCAGTATACAAATATCAAATACAGTGGAAACTGCTTCAAATGATCACTATAGTGATAACCAAATTATTTTCCCTTTTCTTTAGTTCTCATTCAGATTACCATCTGATTGAATTTGTATATTCATTACATGAACACAAAGTAATGAAACAGACAGCTTTGCTATTTAATGATTTAAAGATAGAAAAATATAAACTGCTCCGTTGCCCTCTCCTGCTCCAAGCCTAGTCTGAATAGTCAGGGTCAAAGCATTACACTGCACTCATCTACTTCTGAGAGACAGCAGGAACGATTATTACGCACTGTTAAATACCAAAAACGTGAGCAGAACAGGAACAGGAGGGCAAACTCACTGAGGCACAGAGGTAAAGATATCACATGGCGCACGAGTGCACACAGAAAGCACACTTACATATACACACAGTGAATTTATGTTGAAAAAGCAGGCAGGGACGGTCGTTACACACTGTGGCAGTCCAAACACCTTGTACAAGTAAGTTAGAAGAAAGCCTGAGCATATGACAGCTTGCAGTAGAAGGAACAGTTTTTTTTTTCTACATGCTGTCATGTATGAAAAGACCCAAAATGAACACTGTAAGCAGAACTAAATTACTATAAGCAAATTATTTAAACAGCATTTGTAAAGGAATAATTCTGTCCCAAGTTTTTTGATCCATATAAGCAGTTTCAACTGTATCTAGTAATTCTGTTTTAAAACTTCAATCCCAATCTTTCTGGATGACACAGCTTCAAGCTGAAGAGCTGTTTCACTACAGCAGATGTTATTACCAAATTTGTGACTTCAGTTTAAATAAACTAAGTTTATGGACCTACTGTAACTTGTCCAATAAAATCTGTTTGTTTGATATCAAACACAGGTGGACACACATATACACGCTGCTGCTTGCATGAACCAGAAGCATCTGCTGAAATTTATAAAGACCACGTACCAGACAGAGGCAGATCGTGTGGTTTTGGAGAGAGGCTGTCAGAAGATCACACTCAAGGAAGTCTTCAACAACCTCCACATGGACCCCTACGACCTCACTGTGGACTCGCTGGATGTGCACGCTGTAAGAACAAATTTGAGCCAACGTTTTAAAAATATTACACATCTCCACAGTCATTCCTTCCATAACACTGGAGCCTTCATCAGGATTAGATTGTATTAATTTACTTAAAAGACAAGGTCCCTTGAAGCAAATTCATCAGACATAATGACTATGAGCCTGCCGCCAACAATTAATTTGTTGTTTTCAAAGTACAGCATATTTCACTAACCTGTGCTTATTGACACAAGGATGCAATTATGGATGTTCATGCATTTCATATGGTGTTGCACAATCATTTTCTATGTTACATGCAAGGTCTTTTCAGTGTGTAATATGAAAACAAACAATCACTTTGCTGGAACGAGAATGTCATCATCTGTACGTAAGATTCATCCTCTCTCACGAATCACTCTTCTAGGGAAGACAAACATTTCACCGGTTTGACAAGTTCAACTCCAAATACAACCCTGTGGGAGCCAGCGAACTGCGAGAGATTTACTTGAAATCAGACAACTACATCGAAGGAGAATACTTTGCACGTCTCATCAAGGTGTAGTATGGGTTAATATCACTTGAAGGCTCTGCACATCAATATTTAAATTTGATTTTCTGCTCAGGTTGAAATTGGATAGAGCAAAGATAGAATTACATGACCTCAACAAATTCCATAAACCAGTACAATGATCACAGTTTGATTCAGGATTGACTGTCAATACAAAACCATTTATAATTCAATAAACAGAAAAGGGGGCACTAGGTCTTCACTGTATGCCAAACCATTCACTCATGTCCTTAGACCTACTAAAATGCTAAATGAAACATAACTGGCAGTTAAGCTCACTGGTATTGATTAAACTCAGAACAGACACAAGAAAAAAGAGGAGAAAAGTTCATGGAGGTTCACAGCTTTATAATTTTTTTTAATTTAAATGCATCAATTTAGAAGCATGTTACAGTCTTCTGCCTGCTTGAGAATAACGAACTTTAAGTAATTCAGTGCCCAACATCACTAACTAAAACAGTGGTCTATGTGTGGGGCCAAAGAAATAAAAAGAGTGAAGCGCTCTGTTGTGCTGCCACTGACATTATGTCTCCAGCAGTGGAGAACTCCCTGAAATCCATCCTTATCCACAACTCTGTATATTATTTCTATGTATGACTATTTCTTCACCCAACCAGAGTTCACTGAAAGTCTCGTGAAGTGGTGTGTGTTGGCTGGCCAGCTTGTTTGCTAGTGCTGGAGTTAGTCTCTCAGCAATGGGAATTGAAGTTTTAGCAACATACTTCACTACTGTCTTGAAAAGATTACTATTAAGTTAATAAATCCAAAATGTGGCCACACACTTGTCTTCTTTCGAGAGGAACTCGAGAGTGCGTGCTGTACACTGTACAGGTGTGGCACTGCGCTATTGTGCTGCAAAAGATGTCTGACAGGCTTTTCTCACAGAAAATATTTTTCCATGTCACAGTGGTGCGTCAAAAAAAACAAAAAAAAAACTGCAATAACAGATCTCAAGATGGCAACAGTGTACAGGGCCTTCAACTTTAGCTTTTTACCTCTTATGTATTTACAAGTACAATCTAAAGTAGCATCTGTCTTCCTCCTCCTTTCATGTCTATGATGTTTCTTTGGAGTATACAGTACACTAGCTTTGTGATTTGCTTTGTGACTTGCTTTGTCATTACTAACGTTCACTTCTGCTTTATCAGGAAACGTCACAAACTTCCTGTTTGGTATGTGTTTCAGGAAGTAGCTAAGGAGCTGGAGGACAGTAAATACCAGCATGCTGAGCCCCGTCTGTCCATTTATGGCCGCTCTCCCAGTGAGTGGGAGAGCTTAGCAACTTGGTTCATCCAGCACAAGGTCCACTCACCAAACATGAGATGGATGATCCAAGTTCCCAGGATCTAGTAAGTGCTCAGTGAAAGCAGTTGCCAACTACAAGACAGCAGACACATTCCTTACAATAAGACAAACTCAGTCCAAAGGGGACTGGGTCTGTTTAAAAGTGGGAGGGCTGTTGTAATTAAGAAATTTGAAAAAAGGAACATATTACCAACTCATTTATAGAAATATATCAGTGAAGTGGCATATTGTTTCCCCTTTTAAACAGTGATGAAATTTTAAGTGACTAATTTTTCAATTTTTGGTAGTCATAGTTACCAGTTACGAAATCTTGAGTAGAAATGCTAATGTCAGTGTTGCCAAAACTTTGGCTCTTGTAAACTCAGAAAGCTGGGGTTTAATTTAACTCGCACTCAAATAACATTACTCACTAAGCTGTTCTCAATAAGCAAACAAATACTAAACTGTTGTTTGTATGGGAAGATGAGTTGATTTGATTCCTTGTCTTGCAGTGACATTTTCAGGTCAAAGAAATTAGTACCACACTTTGCCAAGATGCTGGAGAACATTTTCCTCCCCCTCTTTGAGGCGACAGTCAATCCGCAGAAGCACAAAGCAGTACATGTATTCTTAAAATACGTAAGTACCATTATGATGGGTGGAATTTGTGAAATTAAAAGTGAAAACTTTTAAATTGCAAAACATTTCAGTTCTTTGGGAAGAGACAAAGCAGAAGAACAGTAAAAGACGAAGTTAAACTACATCTTGATGCAATGATGAAGAAACATGCATAGCTGTGTAACATTTGTTTTGCAAATGTGCTGATATTCTTTGTTGTTCTGCAGGTGACAGGGTTTGACAGCGTGGATGACGAGTCCAAACACAGTGACCACATGTTCTCTTACAAAAGCCCAAAGCCTGAGGCGTGGATCACAGACGACAACCCTCCCTATACCTACTACCTGTTCTACATGTATGCCAACATCATGGTGCTAAACAACCTGCGCAAGTAAGTCCTGCTTGTCTGCGCATGCAACACCCACGCAAAAGAGTCCAGGGTGGTTTTATATGACACTGAATGCCAATCCATTTAACACCACGGGTACAAGTTATACGTTTTCTGGGCACACGTGTGGGTAGGGATGGGTAACATTAAGATTTTAATCGGTACATCTACTCTTACCGATACTGCTTTTTGATTCGGTATTTTAATGGTACTCTTATCGATGCTTTTTGAGGAAGAAAAAAAAACTTAAACAAAACGTTTATCACACTTGTGACAACGGGCTGTGTCTGCATCAACTCTGGTAAAGTAGAGCCACACTTTGGACCATTTGGTTCTCTCCGCCATGGTTATCTATCTAAAGGTAAGCTACGAGCTTGAGTTGTGCAGTTGCACTGCACTGTCTCGTGTGTGTCACTGGAACAACAGCCCCGCCCCCCTGCCCTCACACAAACAGCAGGCAGGCAGGGAGAGAGAGACAGATCTCTCGTCTTCTGTCAGAATAGCAAAAATATAACATACATAGATGGATATTTGACGGAGTTGGTGAAATAAATGTGCAAGATAACATTTATCTAACGGAGAAAAAAAACTAAATCTGATCCACCAGATAGGGATACAAATAATATTTGTACAAATACAAATTCATGATTTGTGTTGAACAAATGTTTTCTTAGAGGTGGAAGCACCACTAAAAATGCATGATTTACACAGTGAAATGCTACATATTTGTCCCTCCCCAGGGAGCGAGGACTGAACACCTTCCAGTTTCGTCCCCACTGTGGTGAGGCTGGCTCCATCACCCACCTGGTCTCTGCCTTCCTCACAGCTGACAACATCTCCCATGGACTCAACCTCAAGAAGGTGCAGACCTCAATTCAATTCATTACTAGGCTTTGATACACAAATCGATACATATTGATATCTTAAGATGCCAATACAGAACACAAGATTACTGATTCTGTTGCGCTCACCCTCCCAGATTTTACTTGTTTTGTTTTTAAATGACACTTAACCTGACAAGCAAGTAATGCTTCGGCATCTCACCACAAATGCAGTTGAGGGTCAAAGATACAGATGACAAAAAGCACAAACAACACTAAAACCTACCTCTACAAAGAACAAGAATTTCAGGTTGAAGCCTTCATCTTCACGCAGGCGCTTTAATCTATAAACAATTTAAACTTGTCTACCTCATGACTTTCCTTTATCTCTTGATCTGAATTTCTGTAGCTGGCTTTTTTCTATGTTCAGCCATGGTGGGTACCTCTGATTGTATCTGCTACACAGTTCTGCAGATAGTTTAGTCAAAACTATTTTTTGTTGCTGCTGACAGAAACCCTAAAATCTATCACTTGCAGTGCACCAGCAATTGTAAGAGGTTTTATGAACTGGGCATAGGTTGAAGCATTCTTACATTAACCAGTGTATAGTACTCAATGACACACTTCTAATGTATCAGTGAAAAATTCATCTCAGGTAGGTAATTTTCTTCAGTAACCACTTAAATTAATATATAGCATTACTCATATTACTATGGTGTTAACTCCTTCACTCCCCAGAGTCCAGTGCTGCAGTACCTGTACTACCTGGCCCAGGTCCCAATTGCCATGTCCCCACTGAGCAACAACAGCCTGTTCCTGCAGTACTCCAAGAACCCTCTGCGAGAGTTTCTACAAAAAGGCCTGTGTGTGTCGCTGTCTACTGATGACCCCATGCAGTTCCACTACACCAAGGTCCGAAACACAGGAACTAGAACAAATCATATGATTATACATTTTCAACACACCCAGAATCACCAATTATGGGAGATATAAGAATTTGAAGACATTACATAAAAACCCCAATTACACCAATGCACATTAGCTAAAAATATCCATCCTTACAGTGAAACACATTTGATACCTGATCCTAAAATTAGCGCTAAAATTTCTTGGTAGCACCTTATCACAAATGTCCCTTTGAATCCTTTTTCAGGAGGCTTTGATGGAGGAGTATGCCATCGCAGGCCAGTTGTGGAAGCTGAGCACCTGTGATTTGTGTGAGATAGCCAGGAACAGTGTGCTGCAGAGCGGACTCTCACACCAGGTACAGTGCAAATTTTTTGCTCCATCAGTTGCATAACTGGGTTTTAGGACAACAAGAAGACTTCGGAAGTATGAGGAAAGACAATCCTACCCATGTGTTTTCCTATCACACTTCCCTCACAGCTTGAAAAGATCAGATTTGTAAAAAACTTTTGCACACTGCCAAAAAAAAAAAAAAATCCAATGTTTCATCTGACAACATAACATTCAAATCAGGGGGTTGACTAATAGTTCACAATTCAAATCTCATGTTGACACGTTGAAGAATTTGACTTTTTTTGAGTAAGTGAGTGAGTGGTTCATGCCTATACGCCAACAGAATTTAAGAAAAACTGATAATGGTGTATCATCTGATTTCAGCTGATTTAATTTTTCTAACATGAACACATAACATACATAAATATAAAATATTTTTCTTAAGAGTTGACACCGTCAGTGACACAGACATTGTTCAGTTGAAAAATAAACTTGTCAGTGCTCTCTGGTGAAAAATCTATACAGTAATGACACTGTTTCTAAACGGCCTCAAATATATGATTGGTATTAACTATAGTTTCTTCTCGTCAATACTGATATATGTATAAGGGATATGCTAATATTGGCCAGTATATTGGATTATTCAGATTTATTGGTTAGGCTTTACTTAACATCACTGCAAAAATAAAAACCTACAGGCTGTACAAAACCCTTTCTTTAATGAGTAAATTACTGGTCAGAAAACATTACGTTATCCCCACCGGCATTATAAGGACATGCAAATCCTCTTTTGTGCAATCCCAGCCTTGGTTAACAAAAGGTCCATAAAATCCCATCTCCATTCCCTGGAATGTCTTTTGCTGCGTAACACTTTATGGTCCAATTTAAAGCTTGTGCCAGAGCTCATACTACTACTGTATGTGTCCTTATATAGAGAAAAATCATTCAGTCATCCTGTAAGCTGACCAAGTATGTGGACAGCCTTTCCACTAAGAGAAAGGTCAACAATTCAACCAAACAATTGTTATCAGCCATGTCCCATGTTGCAGTCACTGAGCCACATCCTGCTCTATACAAAAAGAGCCTGCTACATTCTGTAAACCAATTTTTTTAACCTTCTCACCCACAGGAGAAGAAACACTTCATTGGTTCCAACTACCTACAGGACGGACCAGACGGCAATGACATTCGGCGGACAAACGTGGCACAAATCCGCATGGCCTACCGCCACGAGACACTGTGCAATGAGCTGAGTTTTCTAGTGGATGCAGTGAGGACTGAGGTCGGCACTAGCCCACCTGAGTGATTGCCTACGCCAGCACAAACTGTGCCTGGATACGTCCTCAGGGACAAAAAGGGGCATAGGCTACAGAGCATATACATTTTCTTATAAATCTTCCTGCCCCTTATTTGAAAAAAAGGGGTTCTTACTGGTTTATGTTGACCTTGGTGCAGGCATTTGAAATGGCCTACTTAATTTAGCATGATGAAAACTTGATTTTAAGACTGTATTCAAAGCTGTATCTATGAACTTCACCGAGTGCCTTATTTTATTTTTTCAAATGCATGATTTTGATAGATGTGACTAAGAGGTCAGGCAACTATTCAGAGACTGGTGCAAGTGTAACGGAGCTATTTGGCTGAAAGCATAGAGGTGAAATCAGTATCACAAAGCCCTGTTAGACTAATTAGAAAGAATTTCTTTTTTATGTTTGTCATTTCTCATAGTTTTTGATATGGAAATTAAAGATTGCAGAACAGTCCAGAATGTTTTTAACTGGATATTTTGGGCTCCAAAGCCCCAGGTTTACTACATATTGTTTGGGTCTACATAATTTGATGAAACAAAATTAAAGTATAATATCAGCTATGATGAGCTCTCAATCCTCCATCTTGTGGTCCTGCTTTTCTAGAGGGGCTGTGTCAAAACCTATCTTAAATACCTTTACTGTTTTAGTTTACTGCTTGCTTTGATTTTTCATGATCAATTAATTGTTCAGTGTATAAAATCGAAGAAAATGCTATCATTACTCCCTGAATCCTTAAGTTTTTCTTTTCCTTTTGTCTGTCTGATTGTTCAGTCTGACAGTCAAAATCACAAAGATGTTGAGTTTACTATCATAGAAAGCTGAGAAACTAACAAATATTCAAATTCAACAATATGTTACCAGAGATGTTTTAGCTTAATAAATCAATTTAAAATGATTAACCTGTTATCAAAATTGTTGCCAATTAATTTTCTGTCAATCAACAACTCAAATATTAAATCTCTAGACTACTAGTTGGTTTTTGGGATGTTTGGGGAAACACTGAAAATACCATGTACAGTGGAGGTCATTTGGAGCCAAACAACAAATATTTGCCCGGAGCCACCTGGTAGGTTAATCCTGCCATGCATTTTATATAAAATTAGTTATTGACAAGTTCTGCTCATTTTCAGACTAAAGTAAAATAAAGTAACATGTTCTCACACTAGCAGCTGCCTACCTTAACATTAGTGAGTGGTAAACTGGTGTCTGCTGGCCGTAAGGAAGAGGACACTTGCAGTGAAGGATCTTGTCATTTCATTGTTTAACTGCAGCCTTCTTGGCGCTCTGTAAAAACTGGAAAAGGTAGTGAGGTTAGTGTTTGAGCTTTTCACATTGAGAGAGAAAGATGATGGTCAGCACACAAAAGCAGGGGAAACTACAAAAGCTATTACCAGGGTATCAGCAGGTTTTAAAAAGAAAAAACAGCCTCAGGGGGTATCAACAAGTCTTAACATAATTTACAAAAGGCCTTAAAAAAATTTCAAGCCTGTTAATTACAAAAAATATTTGTTAGTGATTTTAGCAAAACCTGGGTAGAAAATCCCTAGCACTATTGTACCATACAGCTGACATAGATTAATTTAAATAAATTTGATTAAATTTGATATTTTTTAATGGTTAATCACAACATCCATTCATTTCCTGCTGATTATCCAGGTCGAGTCATGTTTAAGGATTAATTAACTATATTTTTTTGACATAAGCCAGATATCGACTAAAACATGGAATAAATATTGGGCAGTATTACCATCAAACAGGTATTAAATTACATTCTGTGTGACATCAAAAATATACAGAAACCCTAATTTAAAGTGTGAAGTTACCAAGGGACGCTTAAGTTACCTTTTGATTTGGCAGGTCAGGGGAAACTTAATGGAAACTCATTTTGCATTATTGAGCGAACAGTTCACCCTCTAGATAAAAAAAACACTACATTTAACCTTGTCAGATCTGTTTAAGTACAGTGTTTTTATTAAATCAAGACCAGGTCCAAAGTGGAAAAAAAGCAGTGAACTCTCCCTTACTTGATTTAATCAATAAAATCAAGTTTTTCACAAATTTGAAAGTGGGTTTCAAACAACATTAAGGCTTTAAATACAATGCCTAACACATTTTCACAACAGTAAGAGGTGCAAAAACACAGGGAACCTGTCGCTCAATAATGTGAAATGAGTTTTCCTTATATTTCCCCTGAACTGTCAAATCAGAAGCTAACTTCAGCAGCACCCTGTAGTAACTAGTAACAGCTGTAAACAAAAATACTAACTTTTAACTAGTATTAAAGTCAATAAAAACTCATTTCCAATTAGTATTTGACCTAATGTCCATGTAGGGTTAATTAACCTTCCATATAATTTAGATAACCTAGCCAACCTGACACCTGTTGTACATTGATATATGTAAGGTTTGGGTTTTGAGCTAGCCAACGTTAACGCAATTAATGGCTAACGTTGGGGGGATATTTTAAGAATAATAATAAAAAAATAAATTCTTTTTGTAAACACAATTTACTTACCAGAAATGTCCAGACTTTAGGGGGACAGCTTTCCAATGGTGTGCGCCTTACTGTCGTCTAGCTCTGGACTGGTTGAAACCGGATGACACATCTTACAGTTCCTTTAGATAAAAAACGAAATGAACAATATGAGATAACGAATGAAAATTTGTCAGTTGGAACAAAACTCTGTTGGTCAACGGTTTTACAGGTGAACCATGTTTCAGTTATTTGCTTCAGTTAAATTTTTGTACACTATTTGCGGCCTAAACACAATTGAAATGACCTGCAGTCAGCTCACTTTGCTAACAGTTCATAACTTAATGACCCTGACAACACACCCTAATCCCACCGTGATGAAGTCAATGAGCCGCAGGTGCTTCACAGACCCTAGCCGTTAGCTTGACTTAATCATATCTCGGTCCTTTCACATAGTCGGTGCTCCTAAACTTCATAAAAGTAAAATAGTTAAAATGTGAACTGAACAATGCGGAGGGGGACTCTTCCACCAGGTGTAATAAGTCCAGTCAGGTTTGTGTAAAGTTGCCAAAAGAGACAGCAGAGTAAATCCCAGTCATATAAATTCAAAATGGCGCACATTCTTCTTCGTCAGCAGACCGCAGCGCCACTCAGCCCCATGATGTCCAGAAGCTGTATCACAACAGCCCCTTCTGCAACAAAAAAAATACACAATTGGTCCATGTAATTTGTAATAAATACTTTCCTCTCTTCAATTATCATCCTACTCATTAAAGTGCTACACCTCTCTGTTGACTGCATTTATCTGGAGTTACCTCGAAGTGTCAATAAATATTATCTGATTTGAGATATACAATGAATCCAACAAGACTGCAGATCCTAAAATCAAATGTCAAAATCATAAATGAAATACTTGCCCCGGATTTTATTCCATATTGCCCTACTGTTCTATAAAGAGAAATTACACAGTACTGTGCTGAAATAATGTATGAAATAAAGACATAAAAATGATAATAAAAAACTATATAGCACATATTTTTAATGTTTCATCATTGGTACATGACAGCATGTAGGTTTTTATTGCATAAGATTTCAGTTGCATGTTTAAATAAGATAAACCTTTTAGATGGTCAATTATACAACTTGTTTTTAAATAAATTTAAAAGACAGTGAAGATATCAGAGTGGTGTCAACCTTTAAGTCCATCAGAACACAAAGTCTTTTAAAGTGCAAAAAGTGAGTATCTTTTTATTAAGGATAAATACAGTATAATAAACTGAGTAAATTCAGTTTTAATACACCTCCATTCATTCAACTTTGCAAATGAAATGTCTTCAATAATGCTAAGCCTCATGTCCAATTTAGGATAATGCTACCACCTTAAGGTTGAAATGTTACATTACACAGCAATTTGTGTGCTTAGGGCATTTTCAAAAACATTAACATACATGTGTGTATGCAGGATCAGATGTTTTATAGTAATCTATCATGAACATTTCTCATATCAAATGTTTAATAACGTCTCAATGGACTATGCAGTCATGTGGCCACCAGATCAGACTGCCTGTGATCAAACTCTTGCTTAATTTGGTGAAAAAAAGCCTAGTGCTGCACATTTTTTAGTGCAGATAAGTCTCAACTGCTGTTGGATTACAGTGTCAGATAATATTTTCCACCACAGAGATAAAATCCTCTGTAGTTGTGCAAAAACACCAAGAAAGCTACAGTGAAGTTTCAAAGTGCAATTTGTCAGCATCGACAACCAAAAATTACTTTCAGTCCAATAAAATTTCTTTTATGGTCTATTAACGGAACAGAAATCAAAAAGGTATATAGTAAATAGCTACTGTGTGAAATTAAAAGATGTATGTTACTTTACTGTTGAATAATTGAATGGAGTTATTGTTTGATACTAGGAAAAACATTTTAAAATATCTAAACGTGACCAAATGCAAAGTTGATTTACTCACACAATATCACACAAAATAAAATTGAATGAGCAATTTATATCTCTACAACTTTAAATAAAGAATTAGAGTTTAGTAAAATAGAAATTTATCACTAATGAAAATTAATACATATTCACATTACATAAAATACTTCAGCATGGATCCAGTTCACATAAATCACAACCACGTCCACTTAACTAAAAGTACTCTCTGTGATTTATTTGATTTGGAAACCAGGGCAGAAAAGCTCAAAACTGTTTTTGTGGCTTTCAATTCTACATAACTGCGATCCTACAAAATGTCAGTTGTGACTGAAAAGCTGCCTATCTCATTAAATCTATTATCTTGAATTAACAGCATGACAAAGCAGAGATAAGAATGGCTGTTTTGGGCTTGTGAACTACAGTACTTCTACAGCAATCAGATCAAAAATAATCTTAATACAATTATAGAATGGAAAAAAAATATTTAAAAAAAATTAAGAAGATTGAGAACAGCATACATGACAAATAGTGGTTATTTCAGATAGCAAAGAAGACACCAGAGCAAGTCAAGTCATTAAATCATATAAAACTAATTAGTCCTGTTCACCTGAAAGACTATCAGTCACTACATCAGGTCTGTAGTCGATCGGAGCTTCAGTTTATAACATGTTCACATAACACGGATCATAAGGCATGTCATGTGAGATATAAACATGCAGGGTTACATTGCACGGACTACACAACAGCTTTACATGTGGAAAATAAATTTGGCTTCACAGTTTGACCAGATGCTCTGGCATAAAGGTGGTGTGTTTGGTATCTTAAATTTGCACTTGAAGCAATTTTGGGAAATGTGCTTATTTGTAGATGACAAGATCGATACCACTCTCAAATCTGTCTGTTGTACAGAGGGCTACAGCCTGCAGCCTGGAGCCAGTTAGCTTAGCTTAGCTTAGCATTAAGACTGGAAACAAGGGGAAACAGCTGTCCAAAGCTTTCAAAATTCACCTACCAACACCTCTAAAACTCACTAATCAACACATCCATACAAAAATTTAAGTATAAAAACATCAGTTTACTGTTTTAGGGGGGGTTGTGTGCCAAACTATTTCTTGGCTCTGAGCTATTGTCAGGTAACAAGCTAACAAACAGACATAAAAGTGGTATCAATCATCTCATTTAGCTCTCTGACAGTAAGCGAATATTTTCCAAAATGTTTAACTATTCTTTTGAATTTAAATATGATTATGTAGGGAGTCATAGTTATCATCCCTCTCTGAATATGAGAGCTGACTTAAGTTCACCTCTTCAGTCTCATCTTCTGTCTCATTCATATTAACATGAAAGGCAACTTCAACTTGGATGAGCATTCATATTATAAAGTTTCTGGTTTGTCTTTTTCTCCCATGTTGGATAAATCAACCCAGACCGTACTGTAAGAGCTGTACTTTTGGTTATTCTGTGTGTTAAATTAAAGGATTATAATTTATTATAGCATACCACAAATATTGAATTTTCACTTCAGACAACATATTATCACACACACAGTTCCCATAAAGCACCACATCTACGATACGTGGGTTACAAAGAGCATCCTGGGATTTTAAGGACTTAAAGAGACAGGGTTTCATGGCAACGGATACCATGTTTTCCAGCTAATTTCCTGGAAACTTCACTCATAATTCCCTAAAAATTAGCTGGAATTTAGTTGTAAATTACTAGGATATTTCCGAGAGAGGATTCAAAGATGGGCCCACTCCATTTAGTAGCAATTATAAGGGAAATGGACAAAGTGTTAGTTGCTACAGATATAAAGCACCCACTGGTTACATTACTAGCTAATTTCCTAGTTTCGACAGATTTCAATATATATCCGAGTTTCCTAGAAAGATTAACAAAACTCTTAATTTTCCTTTTCCTCTTTCAACTGCCATATATTACAGATTCACTTTCACACAGCTGTACTTTTCAGCTAAATTGGATATTCCCTAGTTTTGTGTTTCAAACTGATACAACAAATAAAACACACTACATGCTATAAAATTCACTCAGCTGTCATACTTACAAACATATTTCTACCTAATTTCCACAGACCAGCAAGTACTCCATAACTTTCTCCATGTCCTTTATATTTTTTTTATATTATAGTACCAAATTTTGAAGCCCTTGGAAATATCCTGGTAATTTACAATTAAATACTAGCAAGTTTATAGGGAATTATTTCCTGGGTTTCCAGGAAATCAGCTGGAGAACAGGGGACCTTTAAAATAAAGCATTACCAGTTTCATGCTCTGAATCTATCACTGAAACCACGCTGGTTTATTCTGCGTTGTTAGCTTTTTAGAGAAAGAAAATATCTCCTCCTCAGTGAAAGTGGCATTTTGTGTTGCAAAGTCTACTTGGTGTGGGTCGATTTCACTTGTTAAGTTAAGGCCTGTGTGGGTGGCCTGCCTCATCAGCCAAGTTGAGGATGTAGCCGGCTATGTCGTCCTCTGTGGGGAAATCAGACATGACCCATGATTCATTGGCAGCAGTCACTTGCAGGCGACATATCGGACAGTTTCGGCTCTGCCCACTCCTGCAGAAACAGAAGAGTGTGTAATAATTGTACTAAAACTTTTCTGTGACAAAATTAAAAGGATTTATAAGATAATAGATTAACTGTTTACAAAATTCAAAAAAAGCTTTTTGTATCATCTCACCATTTATCAATACATTTCTGGCAGAAGCTGTGTGCACAGGGCAGGATAAGGTCGGCCTTTCCATCCATGCAGATGCAGCACTCCTCCTCATCAGTCAGCTGCTTCACTCTGCACAGAAACACAAACAGAAGGGGCTCAACTAATTATTTTCAAAGAAGGAAGATTTTTTTCACTTTTTCTAAGCAGTGGAGATTTTATTTTGGAATTAACTGCTTTATGTTGGATAACTCTTGCTTAGCCATAGAAAAATATTGTGTTATAAAAATGTTTGAGAATTTAGACATGTGCAAGATGGTCAAAATGGAACAGGTATATACTAGGATAAGATCGAGTTGCAGCTTAAAATACCATTTGCCTGCCTTTTGCTGTTACTACTTATTTTAAGTTTTATTCATTTATCTTTATCCAAGACCACTATGTCCCATATGACATTTGTAATATGGATACTAATATGTTAACATCCTGGCAATATTGGTTTTACTATTGCATTCTTGTTGCTGTTCTGTACAATGTACCTTTTGGAAAAAGAAACTGAATAAAAATTTAAGTAACAAAAAACAAAAAGAGAATTTAGACATACCTCCTCAACCTGCCCAAAGCTCCCCCTATGGATGGCAATTCATGAACAGACAAGTCATAAAAATATTCTTTACATGAGACCTACAGTAACTGTGAACCACCAGGATAATTTAAACCAAAAGCCAGCGTAATCATAAATGTACTTTTTTTTTATTGTTTATTTTGACTTCAACAAGCTTCCACAAAGTGGTTACTAGTACTCCTTGGATCCTCAAAAAAAAAACAAAAAAAAACCCAACAACAAACACCTGGTTTAAACACTTAAAAAAACCCTTTAGGTCTTAAGTTTGTCCTCAGAGTCTCTGGTGTGAAATAATGAATGTAAATAAAACCGTTCAAAGGCAAAATGATACACTGAGGTAAACACTGTACTCGTTACTGTGTCTTTGATAAGGATCACATCGTGGGAACTGACCTGCCCATCCACATGCTGGCCTGGCAGGAGTCTGTGGAGGGGAGCTGGGCAGATGGGCCCTCGCTGGCACCCTCTGCAGACAGCACCTCAGTAGCCTGACTGGTGATGTCATGATACAGCTGGATAAACTGATATAGGTTCATGATCCGTGATGCTTCCACCATACCGCTTTCCTTGTTGATCTGGGAGGGGGCAAAGGCAAACACATGACTCATATGACACACTGGTGTAGTTTACGGTAGATATGTACCCCTTCAGCCACAATCCTTCACTGTTCCATGTGTTTATATAATTCAAGCTGTTATGCTATCTTGTCAAGATTTTACACATCTTTAAAGGACAGATTCCCAATTTTTTCCATTTTACCAACATGAAAATTTAAGGGTTTTACTTGCTGTAGTTATTCTGAATCCACAGTCCACAGCTGAAGCTATTATGAGGCCTAAATTAGTCAAATGAAGTGGATGATTTCCACAGTTATTACCCCTCCACTGCAGCTGAACAGGACACACTATTCAGGAAAACACAAAGAGGAAATTTTATTCTAAAAATTCTATAACTTTGGAAGATAATCACTTGATTTGTCTAAGTCAGTGTAATGTCTCATATTATCTTCAGATAAACCTCAGAACACATTTTACCACAAAATGAGAACTGTAGATTTTATCCCCCGTCACTTACACTGAAAACACAAAAGGAAGGATTTTTAATGGCCAATATGAACAGGAGAAATTCTGGCAGGGAGCAAAACCTTGTAAGATAGAAAACTGCAAATTATCCTTTAAATTTGGTGATTTCTGTGTAAAAATCCCTGTAAGCACCTGAGGTAGTATTTGATGATCATGTGACAGTCAAACATTGTTAGGTGTTTCCACAGACAATCAGTGTAGTTCTTAGTTATAGTTTGCATGTAAATGATCTCTCAAGAGGCTGAGTCTTGTTGTGTTATTTGTAATAAAAGTAGTGATGCTGTCAACATGAAATGCTGCACAAACTGAACAGTGTGTTCCCTTCAAAATTAAACTGCAGAATGACTCAACCACAATGGTGTATTGGTGGAATACTGAAAGAAAAGCATGAAATATTTTTCTGCCTGCACTTACAGTCCCACGCACGTGAGACAAAGTATTAGATACAGCTGGTCACAATTTGATATAAGATACTCATATCCATAACCCATGCTGTGGTTATGGATTTTGGCAGCCATTTACATTCACATGTTTACAGGCGAAATATACCAGGTTTATTGTTGTATTTCCTGTATACCCTATTTATTTGAGAGATTTCTCGTTTTAAAAAGTTTTGAGAATGAGATACAACCTCTCAGATAAAAGACAGAAAACAACAGAGATATGGATGATGCAATGTGAAAAAGAAACTACTATGTGACACTGAAACTAAATAAGACAAAAGAAAAATGCTGCATTGAACAACTGTATTTTAAGTTTAGTTTGGATTAACTGTATACGCTGATAAACTTTGGTCCCTGTTAATGATGGGGTTGCTGTTGGAAGAGAGAGTGAATGGATGAGTGATGTAGAGAGAGAGAAAAGCTGCACAGACAAAGAGGGACAAGTTAAAATCTTACCACAGATGTTTTAAACACACATCGAAACTATATGTTGTTTGTATGTAAAACCAAATAGTTCCAATTAGGTTTGAAATTCTTCCCATTTATTTTTTGATAAGAGGTCTATTTCTAAACTGATTAATGTGTCTAACTCTATTGAACAGGCATAAACATTAGAAAGAGTATATCTATGCACACTTTCTCCCACACATAATCACAATTCTCTGGTGTACAGTTTCAAAGGCATCTGTCCCCTTCTCTGTCACAAAATCAAAATTCATAGACAGATGCTCAGGTTGGCATGTGATGTATGTGTAAAAGGGTATTTGGTCTCACCTTGGTACAGACGATCCTGACAGCCACCTTCCACAAGGCTGTGGCATCGGATCCTGGCTGCACCTCAAACAGCAGGTGCTTCTGCTGTCCAGCAGCTAGCTTGGCCGTACTGAGAGAGACGCAGCAGAGGCAAAAGGGTATGTTCAACTTCACAACCATTCTGCATCGTTTTTACTGCTGTTTGCTACTGTTCAATATTTAAAAAAAAACTCCTGCTGTATTTTGATTTTCACTAAATCTTGACTACACTTCTGGCCATGCTGAATGTTATAGTGGAAAATCTACCCTAAAACAGTATTTTCGCTACTACTAATATTCCAATATTACCACTGATCTAATCAAACTGCTGTTTGCTTGTGTTTCTACTGCTGGAATACTTTTTGCACACTTAATTGTATTGTAGATTTGATTTTAAAATCAATAAAATTGTCCATTAATCTATGCTCAATAACCCATAATGATGAAGTGGAAATATGCTTTAGAAATGTTTGCAAACTAATTAAAAACTAAAATCTGTCTTGTATTCAAGTGCATCATGTTTGCTGTTTTTTTCCATTTCACAATTATTGAGACGACCACAGTGGCCTCAATAATTGTGAATTGGCTGTCCAGCCAAACTGAGTAACCAGCCTTGGTCAGGGAGTTGATCAAGAACCCAACAGTCCCTCTAACAGAGCTTCTGAAGTTCTCTGAAGAGATGGGAGAACCTGCCAGAAGGACAGCCATCTCAGCTGCTTTCCATCAGTCAGGCCTTTATGCCACAGTGGTTAGGCACAAACCACTTTGAATGAAAGACAGCCTACATGGAGTTTGACAAACATCATTTAAAGGACTCATGAGGACAAAGATTCTCTGGTCTATTGAGACAAAAATAAAACCCTCTGGGCAGAACTCCAAACACTATGTCTGGCACCTGGCACCACTCATCACACAGATAACACCATCCCCACAGTGAAGCATGGTGGTGGCAGCATCAGGCTATGGGGGGATCCTCAGTGGCAGAGACAGAGAAACTGGTTAGAATTGATGGAAGGATGAATGCAGACAAATACAGAGAGGTCCTTGAAGAAAACCTACTCCAGAGTGCACATGACCTGAGGCGATGGTTCACCTTTCAGCATGACAATGACCTGAAGCACACAGCCAGGAAAATGATGGAGTAGTTTCAGGACAAGGCTCTGTCTGTCCTTGAGTGGCCCAGCCAAAGCCCAGGTTTAAACCCCATAAAACATCTGTGGAGAGGCCTGAAGAAGGCAGCTCACAGACACTTCCCAGCCAATGTGACAGAGCTTGAGAGGATCTGTCAGGAATAATGGGATAAACTGACCAAATCCAGGTGTGCAAAGCTTGTAGAAACTTCCCCAAAAAGACTTGAAACTGTAACTGCTGCCAAAGGAGCCTCCTCAAAGGACTGGATTAAGGTTTGAGGGTCTGAGGGTCTAAGGGTATTTTGTAAAAGAGAGATTTTACTTTTTGTTTAATAAAATGTTTTGACTTTGTCATAATGGATTATTGAGTGTAGACTGATGGGGAAATGTGCCAAATATATCTATTTACATTTAAATCTACAACATAATAAAGTGAACAGTCTGAATACTTTCTGAAGCCTCTGTAACTATAGGTAATCATAGACAATGACTTATATTATCCTATAACAGCTGTCATAGGCTCCAACCCCAGCATCAGGGGATAAGCAAGTATAGTGAATGGATAGATGGGTTTATTTTTCTTCTGTTTCATTTCATGTTATTGAGATTTTTGGAACAACTGAGACTAGCTCACTGCAACCACATTGTCCTGCATCTCTGTCACTATCTCTGAGAGCTGGTGAGCTAAAATTAAATTGGCAGAAGCATGGCCTAATGGGCCTGGGGAATAAAATGGGCCAAATCCTGGATGATGGAAGAGTGCTGCAGCTCTGCAATTTAGCTCTCCACTGGAACAGACTAAACTACACTAGCCAAAAAAATCCACAAAACATCCAGGTGTCCTTTGTGAAGTGAGTGAGGCCACATATTTCCATCTTTACATTCCCCTCACAGTCATTTCTGAACACAAGTTTGTTCCAAAGCAAACCTGCCTCTCCACTACATGTAAGTCAAGTTTTATTTTTTATTTCATTAATTAAAGCTGTATGTGTGTGGGGCGTCGTGTAGCGCAGTGGGTTACGCAGGCGCCCCATATATAGAGGCTACAGCCCCCCCCCCCTCCCCATTTCCTGTCTCTCTACTGTCCTGTCCATTAAAGGCACAAAAAGCCCAAAAAAATAATAAAAAAAAAAAATTAAAAAAAAACTGTATGTGTGTGTCCTCAACAGACTGTGACTTACACGTCGTTAAGTTCAGCCACTCTTGCCAGAAACTCCTCGTAGGTGAGGTAGCCACTGTCACGTACCAGCTGGGCGTGTTTCACCAGCTTCTCAGGCAGACGGGTCAGCACCGCCTGACCTGAGATCTGCTGGCCCATCCTGGCAGCAGCAGCACTTAAAAAACAGCACTGGCAGAAGACCGCACCTCATTCAGTTCTGCAGAGCCTAGAGAGAAATAAATAGTATTTGAAATCTGGTTTGGACTGTTTTATATATGTTCTGTATAGTGCACTTTTCCCCCCTGTTTTTTTGTTTGACAGGGATGTCCATACAATCTGCTTGTAAACTTGCTCTTTCACCAGCAGGTGTGGTTTAGTCTGAACTTAGCTGTCTTTTAGAGACATTAATGTTACTAGAAGCACTCACTAAGCACATTCTTAGGAACACCACACTAACACTGGGTAGGTCCTCTCTTTGCACTCAAACAGCCTCAGGTCTTCATGTCACAGATTCCTCGAGATGTTGAAACTTTCCTCTGAGACTCTGCTCCATGTTGACATGACTGAATCACAACATTTCTGCTGATTTGTCAGCTGGACATTCAAGTTGCAAATCTCCTGTTCTACCACATCACAAAGGTGTTCTACTGGATTCAGGTCTGGAGACTGAAGTTCACCGAACTCAATGTCATATTCATGAAACCAGTTTGTGACATGGAGCATTATCCTGTCGGAAGTAAACATTAGCAGATGGTACTGTGGCCATGAAGGGATGAACATGGTCAACAACAATACTCAGACAGACTGTGATACTCAGACCAAGACTGATTTGTATGTGACAAAAAAACATCCCCAAAACCATTACACCACCATCAGCCTGGACTGTTGATACAAGGCAGGTTGGGTCTATGGATTCAAACTTTGACCCGACCATCTGCTGCATCAGCACAAATCCACATCCATCAGACCAGACTACATTTCTCCAGTCTTCAAGGGTCCAGTGTTGGTGTGTCTGTATCCACTGCAGCCACAGGTTTCTGTTCTTTGTTACAGGAAGTGGAACCTGACGTAGTCTTCTGCTGTTGTAGTCCATCCACCTCAAGGTTGGATGTGTTGTTCCCTCTGAAGCTTTTCTGCTCACCACTGGTTATCTGAGTGACCATAGTCTTTCTGTCAGCTGCAACCGGTCTGTCCATTCTCATCTGACCTCTCTCTCTCTCTCTCTCTGTTCACAGAGCTGCTGCTCACTGGACAGTTTTTGTTTCTGGCACTATTCTTAGTAAACTCTGGAGCCTATTGTGTGTGAAAATCCCAGGAGATCAGCAGTTTCAAAAACTCGCAGGAACTGCAGCTGAACTGTATTAGCTTAATTAGTAGCATTACATAACAACGAACTACTGAAAATGAAACTAAGGCTGCGACCGTTAACCAACTCAGCCCTCACAGCAGTGAATAACAGCATTATTCTGGCTTTCACACGTTTAGCTGACTCTTTCAAAACATGACCTAAATTAAAAACATAATCCTGCACTGAACCTCAAGTCAAACACGATTTATATGCCATAGCAACAGCGACAGCAATTTTGCTAACAAGGAGCAGCCTTACTTAGCACGTAACTCACCACTTAACAAACCTCAGGGTGGAGGAGCCGACGCCACGCTGGACACAAGAAGGGTAAAGGTGTTTATGTGGCGTGAGGAGAGAAAAACAAGCTTCTGAGCAAAGTGTCAACATCAGAGGCAGAAGTTCACCATTAGCTGTTAGCTTCTGTTTTGGTTGACGCCGCACGATCGCTGTTTGATGACGTCGCAGCGTACGTCACTTTACCATTTATGGAACTTATTGTGGAAACACTGTGAGTTACAAAGTGCTTCAGTCACGGAAGCAAATTAAAAACAAAATCATGAAAGAAACATAAAAACCAATTCCACTGATGTAAGGTTAAATGAATGATAAAAAATGGAATTAAATAACATGATAACAAAATAAAATGTAATATAATAATAATAATAATTGTTATTATTATTATTATTTTTATTATTATTACTGCTGAGGTAATTACCTGTCAAGTCTGCAAAGTCTGCTTTGTTGTATTGCATAATCTTAATTATTTGATACCACTAAGTGGTATCAAATAGATGCACACCATATAATGAATAAGAAAAATGAGGATGAGTAAAATTCAAATTCATTTAAATCCATTCAGAAATAATTGTTTGTGGTTATTTTCCTTGATGCCATGCACTGTCTTGATTTTCTAAACTGCAGGAGAAGGATGATGGGAGATTGGTTAAGATTACACATAACTACAGAATGTCTGGGAGGCAGTAGGTGGTAAAAAAAAAGAAAAAAATCAAGAGGTAGAGAATATAATGAGCAGAGAAATATGATCAGGGAAACTGCATTCAACTGAAAGGCAGGAGAGAAGAATGGTCCACTTGGGGACAGATATAAGGAGGAGAATATAAGATATATTCAGGATATACAGTATATTCAGGATGAAGACATCAGAGAGCAAATGGAGAAGGAACTCTGAAATGTGTATGAACTGAAATGTGCAATAGCCACTAAAATAAAGACTCAGGTTGTTGATAGCATGATTAAAAAAAGAAAAGGAGCAGATTAACTTCTGATACAACCCAATTAAATGTCACAGAGTTAGAGAAGTTAGCTGAACTTAGTTCCCTGGTGAAAAATCTATTTTTCACCAAATCTCATTTTGGGTTTGGCTCTGTCTGTAGCCAGGCCATCTGTTATCTGCTGGCACACACCTCACCTGAAGAGGACTCACACAGAGAAGAGCCTGCAGCACAGGTGACACCTGTAACTCTCCGGACCTGAGGAGAAGAGGGCCACAATTTTCACAGATTCATGGTTTTCATATAGTTTGGCACTTTGTTTATTTACCTAATATTGTTATTCATTTTCTCCATATTGTTATTTTACTGTTGTTATTTCTGTTTACTCTGTATAAACAATACTATTTCATATCTGTCCATGCTGAAGGAGATATCCCTCCTCTGTTGCACTTCCTCAAGATTCTTTTTTTCATTAAAGTCTTTTTTTGGTAGATTTTTATAACTTCTATACAAAACCTTTATATGCTTTCTCATAAACCCACTGTAGGTTAAAATGCAAAGTAAATCCCGATAAATATGACCTAGTAACATTCAATAAAAATCAATGCTCCCACATGAGGAGAGGCTATCTGAACAGCACATGGTGCTGAAAGAGTCTAATAAACTTTGAGATCAATAACAGAGGTCAATAATATAATTAAGTCTATTTGATCATATAAGATTCATAAGCCCACTCAATCACAAATGAAGCAGATACAGTTTATCATGTGTGGAAAATTACATGTCCAGTCTCGGAGTAAGACACAAAATATATACGTCATCAGTGTTGCCAAATGAGTTTATATATAGCATCTACTGTAACTCCTGACATTTAAATGTAGTTACGTGTAAAAATGTAATATTATATCTCCATTACACCTTTTGTAATGAGTTATGACACATTAATGAGAGCTGTAACATATTTTTAATTTATGATGTAATAATGAAATTGAATTAAATAATGTTTTATACATTTATCTTATATCACAGTGGCCTGGTACTCAATACTATGACATCACCAGTTACAAGTACTTTACAACCTTTATATGAAGTAATAATTGTCAGGTACTGTAATGATGTGGTTTTAGAACTTTTTTTTTTGACAATTTATATGATTTCCTTTTACACTTTTAATCCAATGATCAGGACATTTTATTACATTTACACAAGAAGACAAGGTTCCCTCTGTGGCAAGCTGTAAACTTACCAGCAGATGGCAGCAAACAATTCCAAACAAAATGAAGATGAACCCCACAGATTGTAATACTGCATATGTCAGACAGGCTGTTGATGATGTTGACAAGATCCACTATAAAGAAATCCAGCTGTTTGGAATGAAGATGCTGGTTCACTTAGCTCCACTCTTTAAAGAATCAAATATTTACTCCCATTTCATAATTGATTTGTAGGAGAAAAAAACCCTATATATTTACCCTATTCCTAGTTATTAAAGGGCTTGATTTTTTTTTTAGTATATTCAAAAACACTTTTGGATGGGAGATGGAACTTCTATATCGTCTGGTTGAGGCATACTCTTTTAGCTCTACCTCAGCTACTCACAACTCCTCACTCACAACATTTATTAACATAGAAATGTTAATATACTTGGTAAACTTTAGATGTGAAAACACACATTAAGCATTCATCACTGAATCCACCCCTATTTATTTTCATATTTGGAAACACTATATGAAAGACAGCTATCCATCAGCTTTGTCTGGGTGCAGACCTGGGTGTTGGCGGCGATTCTAGGGCTCTGGAACCAGTCATTAAAAATATCTGTCTGAACCAAGAAAAACAACCCATTAGAGGTAAGCTCTTTGTTTTTAAGCTTAGATTCATTCTCAGGTGCTGAGAAAGAGGAAAAACAAAAGATACCAGCCAGGTATGAACAACTTTATGTACAGATTTTCTGAAAATGAACATAAGTATAAAGGCTCCATAATGTACAGATTGGTCATTTTAATACATCACCTTGAAAACATACAGCAGGTCTCTGAACAACCCAAGAAAATATGGATTGTTTTGAATTCAATAAACAGCAGTAGTTCAAGATGAACTTAGCAAGTGCATCTATAGTTAATACTGTACATACAGATGATAATTTAAAACAGTCTTCTGTTATTTCTTTAACTGACTCACTGGCTGTGTGGTCCATAAACTGATAGTTCTTATGATGAGCCACTCTTTCTGACTGGCAGTAACAACTATTCGTACACACTCGATATCAAAGCCGATCTTGTGGTCCACATTGTTCACCTCAATGTTTCCGCCTTTAAACTCCCCTAACGTGATGTAGGATGTGCACTGCCTTCCCTGCTTAGTTTCCACTGACTTCTGTCCCACTTCCAAGGCCCCGTGATGAAGAATGTCATTCTGTCGATCCTCTGTACCTGTAACTATTTTAATTCTGCTGATTTTCGTTGATTTGTTAAAGATTATGACAAAGAAATCTCCAGTACAGGGAGGTTTCCCCCAGAAATATTCATCTACGATACTACTATAAGCCTTCGTGGCGTCATAGTTTTCAAAGACGTTGATGTTTGTGTAAAGGCCGGCAGGAGGGTTGTCAGGAATGTCTATGGAGTCTTCCTCGAAGTCGTCGTCTTTCAGTTTGTTCTCTGCTCCTTTGTAAGAGGAGTAGTAGCCCATGTGCTGGAACAGTGAGGGCTTGAAACGGATCACATCCTTCTGGGCCAGCAGACCCCTGAAATGGATGAGGAGCCAGTCGCAGGGCATTTCCTGGTAGAACATGAGGAGGAAATGAGCCAGACGAGGTAGGTCTTTGGAGTGGTACAGCTTTCCAATGTAGCCCAGCTTGGAAAACTCCAGCATCACCCAGTAGGAACCTTCTCTGGAGGTGATCACCTTCTTCAGTGCTGTCAGGAAGTTCCTGGAGCAGCGCACGTCATCCTCTAACATCATGTAGAAGTGAGAGAGGTTCGTGCAGAAGTTGAGAAGGAAAGCGTAGTCAATGTTCTGCTTAGAGCGGAAACGGACCCGGTCCTCCGGGTCGTTGTAGTTCCTTTTCAACCCATCCAGAGATGGGTAATACTCCTCTGGAGTGTGGATCACCAGGAGGCGTCCGGCTATGATGTGGTGTGCAAACTTCCTAGTGATTTCCTGCACCAGGTTCTCACACCACACCAGGTCAAAGTCTGCCAGGTGGACCACAACCACAATTTCTTTCAGTTCCTCATAACTGGACTGATCAAAGATGGATTTGATTGTTTCCAGAAGATAATTACCTTTTTTCCTCTTGACAGAGGACAAACCGATGGTTAGATACTCTGTGAACAGAAATCATTTTTGTCATTTCTTATTATGGAACAAAATCTTAAAACAATTCTTGTTGCTTGTGATACTAAATATCTTCAGAACTCAGCCATTCGCATAAAATTACTATCAATTACTTAGTAGAAATACCTACTTTTGCGTGGCAGAGGAATTCCTGCCAGATAGCGATAGGTCACATTAATGGTCCCAGAGAAATTGGATAAGTCTCTGAACGTGTGGACGTATCTCTCAGAGTTTGCAGAATGCATCAGTGTCTCTCCCAGCTGTCTTTTTTCAGCCTCCTAGAATTTCAAAAACAAGCACACACCGAGCAAAGAGTAAAATGCCGAGAGCTAAAATCGCAAAGGAGCATTCAAAGCATTCAATCATCATCATACATCTCAAAGAAGATGCACCTACCAGCACATATCCATCATCCATGTACAGGTTGAAAAAGAGCAGAAAGGTGATGAGGAAGCCGAGGAATGGGAACATGGACCGCTTCCTAAAACACCTCATCTTGTCCACGGACTTCCACATCAGCCTCATGATCACGCCCCTCACTGCAGGAAAGAGAGACAAACAGAAAGATGGTAATCAAAGGGAAATTAAAATGTATGGGAGCTCGCGCACATGGCCAACTACAAATTTTTAAAAAATTCTAATCCTTGTAGACATTGGGGTTATGACACTGATATTAAAGATTAGCTGTAGACTTCTGTGAATAGAATAACAAAGACCTCATCACCTGCTGTACTCAGAAAGCATGAATGAGTTTCGCCTCAGAGAAGAACTGATGTTTCACTGACAGGAAAAAAGGCTAAAAGATCCAAGTATCATAGTGCTGAAACAATTAGCTAAATAATTAACAGAAAACAAATCAACAATTATTTTATTCATTTATCAAGCAAAATTCATCTTTCATGTGAGAATTTGCAGGTTTTCTCCTTTTTTTAATATTCATGCAACTGAATGTCTTTTTTCAGTGTTTCATTAGAACATCTACAGACAGGATGAGGTCAGGAAACAATGGGAGAGAAATATGTTATGACCTCTGACCTATGACCTATAGTATATGGACTGAACTGAATTTTGGAAGTCACATCAGTAACATTAAAAAGAAGAAACATTGCGAGAGTCAGACCCAACCTTTCTTTAAAAGATACTTAACTGACTCATGTCTTTGTATTTTCATACTTTGATTAATGCAACTCATTCAAAATTCTGCAGCAAGCATCTTCACCAAAGCTAGGAAAAGAAAACACCAGTACTATTATTAGTATTCACTGCGCTGGCTGCACTGTAACGTTGAGGATAGATCATTTAAATTTAAATTCTTTTACTTGTTTTTAAAGCTGAAAATGGTCTAGAGCCTTTATATCTTTCATTTGCCTGTCAGATTATATGTTCCATTCACCGTTCACGTAGGTCGCTTAACGTTGGTTTGATAAATATGCCACAAATAAAGTGCAAAACGTTTGGCGAAGCAGCTTTCTGTAGCTATACACTGGAGATTTGAAATCCCATTGCATAGACAAACAATCTCTGATATCTGATTGATATTTTAAAAAAGCAGCTCAAAACTTATCTTTATGGTCTTGCTTTTAATTAACTCAACCTTTTTTTTATAATTCTTTGTGGGTTTTGTATCTTAAAATTGCTTTTAATACTATCAGTTGTTTTTATTATCAGTATCATCTCTTTTATTTTTCTGTGATCTCACCTTTTTATCTTTTCAGGATTTTATGGCTTGATTGTCTTTTATTGCCTTGTCCTGTCTCTAAAGTCCCGTCTTTAAAGGGGCTATTTGTAAGTTTTCTCTGCTGCCAAACGCGGTTTCTTGCTGGGAGCAGGTGATGGTGATTATCGTCTTTATAAAACAAGGGCTTATAATACGTCTTCTGAGCAGCGCTACGTCTCCAGGGCTGCAGTGAGTCGCTATCAGAAAGTGATGAGACAGCTAGCTGGTTAGCATGCTAACTGCAGTAGTGAAAAACACGTGATAGAGACAAGAGTTAACACTGGTGTTGCTTTCCACCTTTGGAGACAGCTCTTGATGAGTAAAGGAATGAAGTTTGATGCTGAACTCACAACGTTTTCTTCTAGACTGGTAAGTTAACAGCTGTTCATGCTAACATTAGCTATGTAGCAATAGCAAAACTTACAAATAGCTCCATTAAGCATCTGTTGTTTTGTTTTTGAAATATTCACTATTTTCTGACATTGTAAAGACTAAATGACTGATTGATAAATTAAAAACAAATCATTAAAACATTTTAGCAACCAGTTGCCTCTTCACACATGAAAGATGTTAAAACATTTGGTAAAACTGAGGGGAATAATAAGAGAGTGGAATGATAATTCTCTGTTCACCACTATGAGCGACTCCGTTCACATTAGTCATAGTCATTTGATCCATTGTTAAGGTATAAACATTGATTAGAGCAGATTTAATTAAAGAATAATCATCAGCTGGAGCCCTGAAGTATCAGTCCCAAAGCTGGATGGACATTCAACTGTTAATTGATGAGGTATTGAGCACGACAGATGTGGCCAACAGCACTGACACAGAGATACTGAAGGCTGATTTCAAGGTTTATCTTTGGATTAAGCAAAGTGATTGCTAATAATGAGTCATTTTGGTTGTTAATCTAACTGTTCACAAGGGTATACGTCAGGCATCTGTTCTGTTTGTGTGCAGCTGTCATAGCAGCCAGATGATGTTTCAGAAATCAGTAAACAGCAGTGACATTTCAAGATAGAAAACAAATGCTCTCAGCCTTGTTCACTGTGGTATTTGCTCATAGTCTTGACAGTCCTTTAACTGAGGAGAATAACCCCGCTCACTCTCTGTCCTATTTGGAACCTCATCTAAAAAACTACTGATCCCATGACACCCTCTCTAATTCTGATGTTGCTCAACACCAAAATGAAGCCTTCGATGTGAGAAACCGTGAGCTCCCCAGTGACAGGGAAAATTTCAACACAGGCCCGTGCCCCCGCCGCTGGGCGCAATAACTCAATAAACAACTTATTATTCATTGTGTTATTCATCACTTGAGCTCCATTTTAGGGGGAAAACCATCTGCCATCTGCCAGAGAAGTAAGCCATTTTGTGTTTCTGTCACAAAAACGCTCCACGCTGGCACCTGAGAGACGAGCGGCAAGAGTAAGTGGAAACACAATGACAGCTGTGAGTCAATATTATTAAAGTCCTCACAAAAGCACCTCCACAGATACACACGCCATTATTTGAGATGGCAGCCTGTGAAATCAGATATTGAGACGCCGAAAGAATATCTAACAAGGCGAAATAATAGTCACATGCTTTCTCTGTGAGAGAAAATACCGCTAAGAAATTAGTTTTTTGTTTGCTTTCTCTGAGCGAATCTAAACAACAAACAAGCTTCCAAGAGGTCACGTACATTTATATGGAAATGAAGGTACATCTATGAATAAATAAGCACCATTTGTCGGGCCTGTTTGCTTAGGTTTAAAATGCTCCTCTGCCAAGTTGTTTTTTGTTTTGTTTTTTCCTCAGAAAATTATCAGTGTGTATGCCCGGCAAGCTCATTTCTATGACTGAAGTCATTTTAGATTAGAGCTAGTGAAATAATAACAGGTAGAGAGGAATACTAATGAGGTCCAGGATTAAATATTATTATATGTCCTATAGGACATTAACTGGTGGACCTTAACTAGTGGACATTAAAAACAATCTCTCCAGAACAGAAACCAGAGATTTTTTACTATCAACTGATCTTTTGTTTTGCAACAGGAAAAGGGAATTACAACAGTTCTTAATATAAGAGTATATATATATATATATAGTTATAATAATATAAACCTGGCTCTCCTGGTTTACAGCTAATTCTTATGAATGAAAACTAAAGTAAGGAAAATGAAGTGTGTGATTCAAACAAGCAATTTCTCCTTCCATTAAAATTTCCTGAATCTACATTTAAGGTTCATCAATAGCTTGTGGATAAATTATATAAACAGGTGTACTGCAGGCAGCAAATGTTATTAAATTACTCTGTTAAATTGCACATTACAGCTGACAGCAGTCAGACGCCCTGTTTATAGTGCAGCTGAAAGGGTTGTAATGTTTTTCTCTTCAGTCAGTCTGTATTGTACAGGTGTGGGACTGACCATCAAAAATCATGCTGGCATCATTGTGTCAGGCGTTGCATGTCACCACTCTGACAAGCTGCCAGCTGCCAACTTTGGGAAATTTGAGAAAGGTTAAACTGTCGCATGAAGGCTCAGAGGTTCAAATGTGACCTGATGTTTGGAACCAACAACCTGACAACTACCAGGTCCCCAGACAACGGGATCAATAAAAACTGTATCTACACTTAAGCACCACCTTCCTGTTTTCTCAGGCCTATGAAAAGTATGTGTGTGTGTGTGTGTGTGGTTTGTACTATAAGAATGTGTAACTGCTGCTTTGTGCTGGCTATATTAGTATTGGTATCCATAGCTGGTTTTTCAACTGTATTCCTCCTCCAGTTTGTATAGTATGTATATTATGCGTCAGTATCACTGTATTGCATATGTTCAATAATGTTTGATGAACTGTAAAGTACATATGTAAGGAAATGCCTTGCCTTACCAATCAGGATTATTTTTATTCCCACACAGGACAGAAGCACATATTGTGTTCTCCTCCGCTCAACTACATTAAGGTTATTTAAACAAAATGGAGGAAAAGCTGATGATTTCAGTCAACGGCTTCCTAATTCTCTATGATATACAGGAGCACTAACTTTAAGGAGCAAATGGGACTAGAATGAGAAAAATGAAACACATTCTTTGTCTTCTGTCATTTTCCAACAATTACTGCCATGACTGTATACATACAATACATGAATGGTTGTTTCATTTATAATTAAACTTACGTTCATTTCTCATCCAACTCCTGACAGGAGATGAATCAACAAATCAGCTCATGATTACAGTTTATATATGGGTCAAACTAAAAGAAAAACTCCCTTTTAGCTGATCTTTACCTTCTATTTGATTTTACACTTTTAAATTCATGGAGTGGCCCTTTAAAAGCCTAGACATTGGACATATGGGTTTTGCAGGATCATCAAATATCAGTGTTTTCAGCCTATCATGATCTAAACCTCAGATCAGAAAATGTTGTCACGATGCGTTACGATGCAACAAGGACAGAAACCACAGCTGAAATACGATAAAAACAACCAGGACAATTAAAATGTCTTTTGCTGGCGTGATTCTGCACATTCAATTTTTTTTTCTGTCAGTTCCTATTGGTAAAGGATCCTGAAATGAAGATTATCAGATCTGAACAGTAATCTGGAGAATGGGAGGCCTGCAGCCTGGATGAAAGTTAAAGGAGACAGGTTTGTAGCTGTGGGGGTGCAGAGCTGATAACTGGACCCGCTGTGAAAGTGTGATTGTGGAGAATGAATGAGTAATGCGTTAAATTCAATGACGTCCATCAAGGTGCCCTTCAGCAAGGCACTTAATCCCCATTTGTGTCAGCGGCAGCAGCAGCAGCAGCAGCAGCAAAGTGTCCACCAGT